CTGTAATGCCACGGCACTCTACCCAGGGGGACAGCTTGAGGCTCTGTCTCAAAAAAAAAAAAATTTATGTGTAATCTAGCAAATACTGTTCCAGGCATTTTCCTAAGCACTTTAAATCTATTAACTTATTTAATCCTCACATTATTAACCCCATTTTGCAGATTAGGAAACTGAGGCACAGAGGACTAACTTTCCCAGGGTCACGCAGTTTGTGAATTGTGTGGGGGCTGCATGGTGACTCCTCTGCCTCTGTCTCAGCCAGCTCAGAAATGAGACACAGGTGCTCCCTCCTCCCACTGCCTTCCATGCCTGCGCCTTAGCTTGGAGGCTTGTCAACCAAGCCTCACTGTATGTCCGACCGTCCCTGTCCTATCCTCTGATGGCCACCCATAGCTATCCATTTCCAATGGCCATCTCAGAGTTTCCTATACCAAAAAGTGAGGATCCTTCTTCTCCGAGACCACCAGGATGACAGCCCTCATCAAAGTTAGGCTTACTTGCTTACCACAGCCAGAGAGAACACACACAGGTGGTCTGGGTGGAGGGCTCTCATCAGAGGGAGTGGAGGGGCCGTTACAGGGTTTGGGCTTGTGCTGACTAGTTCTAAGGACAGAGGGGTTTCAGATTTAGCAAGTAAAGTATGCATGACACCACTGAAATTTGAATTTCAGATACATTATAAATGCATCCTACGTATTATTTAGGATATACTTATAGTAAAAAATTATTCATTGCTTATCTAAAATTCCAGTGTAACTGAGCATAGTGCACTTTATCTGGTTACCGTCAAGGAGGGTTTGGGTGCTGTTGGGAAGCACAGTGGTTCACTGATTGGGGCACCTTACTGGTTTTGTCTGGGCTGTGAGAGAAATAAAAGAGCTCGGGGTTTTATTGGTAAAGAAGCAGCCATCAGTGAGCCAACTCGCCTGTGTCAAAAGAGGGGGCCATTTAGCCATTTTTGTGGTTTGAGTGTCCTGGTTTCTGTCTTGTCCAGGCCTGTCCCTGAGTGGCCTGGGATGATCCCTGCTCGTGCCTCCTGCTGTTTATGTTCAGCTGGAAGCCTGCCAGGGGCGTTTCTCATCTTCTCCTTCTGCTTCCAGATTCTGGGCTAATTCAGAGTCTCCGAGATGCAGGTCACTCGGGGTTCTGTTCTAGAACAGCTGGTTCCGGGTGGCTGCTGGTTCCTTGAAAATATTTTTGTGCCACAACTTGGGGGGGGCTGCCAGCCTCGGGTGGGCAGAGGCCGGAGACGCTGCCCAGCTTCCTACAGTGATGCACAGCCCTCACCCAAGAGGATCATCTAGGCAAAAATTCTGGGAGGGCAGAAGTTGAGAAGTCCTGGCCTCCATTGAAAATTAGGAAATAACTCATTTCTTGGGTTTCTCTAACTCTCTCTGCATCAGGCCTTCCAGAAGTAAAGGAAATAAAAGCAAGAAAAGCATGATCTCCTACGGAGCACTCACTGTTCTGCAAGCTCCTGGGGGCAGAGGTTACATCTTGCTGAACTGGTATCACCTGAGCCACAGTCAGCACCTGGCCTGTAATGGCAGGTGTTTAGTAACTAGGCTGGGTGAATGACAAATGTGTGAACCCTGTGCGTCATATCTGCACGTGTTACATGTATGAGATTCATGTGTTCCCCCGGTAGCGATCCTGCACCTGCAACACCAGGGCCAGTCCCAGGCTCTGAGTGTGCAGTGCCCGGGGAAACAGCTGAGCTGAAGGATGGGGAGGAGGAGGGTGCCACCTGTGTGGGGGATGGAGCGGTCTCCTTGAGGAGGTGGTGTTTAAGCCGAATTCTGCAGGAGAGGAAGAGGGAAGGGGCGGGAAGGGGAGGAGGAAGGAGGAGGGGATGGGAGGGCGCTGAAGCATTGCCAGGCAAGGAAGTATGTGCAAAGGCCCAGCGCAGTGGCTGAAAGAGGGAGAGAGAGTGGTGAGTGTGATGGGCGGCTGGCTGGGGCTGGGGAACCAGGGGCTGGTCGTGCCACCTGGGTGAGGCATTGGGACTCCATTCTTAGCGCCATGGGAAGCTGTGACATGGAACCTACTATGTGCCACCTTGACAAAACTCACCCAACATTAGCACTGTCTCCAATCCACTCACCACAAAAACCCAAGTGCAATTCACGTCTTCCCCAGAGTCACGCACAGGACTCCAAAGCCGACTTCTATACACGGCCCGACTTGGGATCCTGACCCTGGCTTTCTGGTCTGTCCCTGCAGTTGGTTCTTTACGTCCCAAGTGGCTCTCTCCAATAATGTCCCCTTTCTGTCTCTCTCACCACGCTCCCCTGGCCACCTGGTCACATGGTCATCTCTGGTTCACTCTGCCCACCCTCCTGCCCTTCCCTGTGCAGACCGTCCTGGCCATCCGCAGTCTTCAGCTGGGTGGTTTTCTTCTCTGCCCGAATTCAGAACCTGCACAGCCAAAATGGGCCAGAGCAGACTCAAAACTCACACCTCCCCCCCCACCCCCCGTGGAAGGCAAGAGAGGGAGGGGGATTGCAAACAATTGTCATCTGCTTATTTTTTAGGACTGCCCCATGCTTTGGGGGATAATTCCTGTACCTGAAGTCTGTGGAGAGGATGAGGGAAGGCAGGATAGGGGGTGAGATGATCACTGTGGACAAAGCCAGCACACTGTTACGCACAGGCCCGTCTCGCCGGCGTCTGTGTGTGCCTCAAGTTCTGCTGGGACAGCCACGCCTGCTCATTTGGGTCCAGACTGCAGCTGCTTCTGTGCCGTGCTGCAGAGCTCGGTGGCTGCAGAGGCTGCATTGGCCTCAAAGCAGAACGCATTTACTATCTGATCCTCTACAGAGAAGGTTTGCTGCCCACTGACTGGAAATGGTGGCATTCGTTCGCTTCATCCTCCCAGGCAGCTGTGAGTGTGGGCAGCACTATCTCCACTTCACAAATGAACAGACACCTGCTAGGGCCATTGAGCTGCCAAAAGATCCCCAGAGAGTGAATGGCAGAGCCAAGATCCAGAGCCTGGTCTCCGAGGGCGGGCTCCATTCTCTCTCCTGAACCAGGTTGTTAGAAAGAGCTGCAGTGACTCCACCACAGGTCTGAGGCCGAGGGGCTTCCAGCGCCAGGAGGGTGATGTGACAAGGGCAGCCAGCCCAGGCCAAAGGTGATGAACGGCAGCTGACATCTGGGCTCCAGTTTGGCGAACAGTAGGGCACATGGGTCTGTGCTGGCGGAGGGAGCTGCACATGGACAGACGCGGCATCTCCACAGGGGCCCGTGTTTCTCAGTTCATGAATCTAGAAATCTGGATTACTTGTGTAAATCTCCTAATTTTTTACATGTAATATCCCTGGATTTAAATATTGAAATTATTTTAACCATAGTGAAAAGATATTTGGAGCAAACTGGGCAAAGCGTAGCTGGGTGTGTCCTGTAGCTCACCAGAGGATGACCTCTTACATACAAAGCTCGCATCAGGGTGACTGTCACGAAGCCTCCTGCGGTGTCCTCGTCCATTTTCTGCCTACAACCCAACACCTGAGAGGCAGGGAAAGGGGAGGGAGGGAGCTGAAGTCGTCCTTCTGTCAGGAATCCCTCCCACAATGACAGCGACAGCTTCCATACTGAGAGCAGAGCCCTGGAGACATAATCACCTTGTTAAGGTCCCACCTCTTGACACTGCTGTGTTGGAGCTTAAGGATTGAACACATGAATTTGGGGGACATGGTCAAACCATCGCACTCAGAAAGGTGGGCCTGTGAGGACAGGAGAGGCAGCTCTAGGCAAGACAGTAGAGGAGCCCGGGACCCTCTCCAGGAGAAACCCAGCACAGCCACCAGCCCGGCCTCCGGGGCCTCCTGCCTCCTCTGCCCCTGCAGCACCCTCGGTGCCAGTTGTCACCACAGGGAGGGAGGAGAGGGGAGAAGGAAGCTCTATCCATCACCAGAAGGGCTGCGCTTGTTACCAGAAGGAAGGAAACGCCATGGAGCCAAAGAGAACGCAGAGATGCAGGGTCACTGAGCCCAGAGAGGAGGGGAGAGGCCAGCTGGGAGGGCTTCCAGGGCCTGAGACGGAGCTTCAGGTTTGCCCTGGGGTAGCCACAGGGGCATTCCAGGAGTCCACACACCAACCTTTTCAAACATAATAAAACCCAATATTCCTGCTAGTGCATCACAGATAAATCTGCCCTATCCTTAGCCAGTAAGTAAGTGATAAGGCCATGAATTTATAAGTCCCAGAACTCCGACTCCCGATCCCTGTCCCACCATTACCAGCTGCATGACTTTGGGAACCTGTCTGAGCCTGTTTCCTCGTCTGTAAGGTGGGATCAGTCAAAGCCTCTGTGCTACGGTGCCAGGAGGTGGAGCACGTGCCCGACAGTGGGCCATACCGGGAACAGAGGCCCACACAGCTGCTCTCATGGAAACTGGTTGAGGAAACGCATTTCTTCACTGTCCTCTGGCCTGGGCCACTGCTGTCCTGGGACCTCTCCACAGCTGCACAGCACAGGCCCATCCTCCCTCTGTCACATCTGCAGTGCCATTGCGCCAAGCCCTGACCAGACTCATCCAGAAAGCAGCCTGTTCTGTTCTGGACATGGAGCTTTCGAGAGGGTTTGGACGGAAAAGGGTGAGGGGCGTAATCCTCTGGTGGGTGAGGCACAGCTGAGCACAGCCTCTCATTCCTGGTACGTGCACACATGAATGAGGGCTGGGAGAAGTCTAAGACGTCGTTGCTTACTGGCTAAGGCTTTGAGTTTAAAAGTTCAAAGTTTTCATTTGGAAGGGGTTATTGGTAAAAATAAAATAAAATAAAAATAAAATGTTCAAACATTTCAGAATCAAACTGGCGAGGCAGAAATTATTCACAGGCAGAAGTTGGCTGTCCCCCTTCTGTTCTGTACAAATCTCAGGGATTTGAGGTCATTAGTTGAATATCTACTATTAGGAAGAAGCTGGGCTTGGGGTGTGGGTGATGTGCCTGCTCTCCAGTTTTTGCTTGTAATCTACTCAGGGACATGAATGTACCTGCCACAGAAGCAGCCTGGCTTTAATAAAGCCCCTCTCTGGCTGCCCACTCCCATCACTAACCCCCACATGACCTTTCCTGCCCCAGCCCAAGACAAGATACAGTGCACCCAGAGTTTTCCAAGCACTGAAGTTCTTATCTACCATGACTACTTATATGTAACTATAAATGTTTTTTATTTTTCCCAAGTGACACAGAAGTTGACTATATGCTGAAATTGAAATTGTTCCTTGCTGGAAGCTCTGACATCTGAGATGAGCGTTGGCTTGTTGCACAAGGGTGAGCCTCAGTGTTGGGGCCCAGCCCAGCACACAGTCGGCAGCTCCCTCTCAGCTGGCACGGGACGATTCATGTGGGGCTGCTGGGCCCAGGATACGATGGCACCTGCCTCGTGCTAATTCCCTTTTATCCTCTCACCAAGTCATCATCCTGTCTTTTACAGATGAGGAAATTGAGCATTAGGGAGGTTATAGTCTCACTCCACAGGTCCCACAAGTCATAGGAGCTGAAGGCAGCTTCAAACCAGGGCTGTGTGGTTCTGGGGCTACCAGTGAGCAAGGCTGGCCTGCAGCCAAGGTGGGAGGCCAGGGCTGGTGGCCACGGGGCGTTGGCTTTCCTGGGGCACTAAGCAGGACCCCTGGGTGCGGTCAGTGTGCTCAGGGCCCTGGTGTGGCTGCTCAGCCAGTCTTGTGCAGGAAGAGGTGCGGTCCCCTGGACAGCTGGCCCGCTTCCTCTGGCTTGTGCTCCAAGTGTACATTGACACATATTTTGAGGACAAGGAACAGAGAAGACTGAATTTTTTCAAAGGAGAGATTTCCCAACAGTAAAAATCTGCAAAGTGAGCTCTGGAGATTTGCTGGGAGAAATTAGGGAAGTGACTCCCCGAGGCCTGGGTTCATCTCATGTGCATTGTTTGAAATGTCTTTTTCCTCCTTCGGGGAAAGGGGAGTTTATTAATATAATTTCAATACAAGTTGCAAGAATAGTACAGGGATTTCCTTATTTCCACTGCCCTGCTTCCACACTCACCACTTGTCTTTACATCTTGCCCAATTTGCTTTATCGTTGTCTCTTTCTACACACACACACACACACACACAGCTTTGCAATTGTGTAAATATGTCACTACTGCACATAAATATGTAGTACATTTTCTAAGCCATCTGAGAAAACAGTGGAGACGCCTCCCCATTTATCTGTGGGCCCTTTGGCGTGTATTTCCTCAGATCAAGGACATTCTCTTACACAAGCCCAGTAACTGGTCAAAGCCCAGAAGCTAAGCGGTGACCAGCACTGTCCTCTAATCACTGTCCATCTCCCGGGCTTATCATCACCCCAGTCACCACTACATGCTGTTTCTCTTCCCTCATTCGGGGTCCACCCAGGCTCCCTCCCTGCATTTAGGGTTGTGATTCTTTAGTCTCTGGACAGAAGGGTTTTGTTCCTTTCATAGCAAGTCCAGCTTTTTGCTGTGGTGTCGTGTCAGACAGAAGGTGTGCACATCAGTATCCAGCCTGTGAATTTTCTCAAGGTCAATATGCCTGGTACTGCATTTGAACACCAGAGCTGGACGGGGTTGACATGCTTTTTTGGGCATCTCAGAAGATCATCACTTCCTGGGCATCTCAGCCTGGTCACCTGATTCCAGAGGCCCGTTCATGTTAGAGAGAGCCCTGGCATCCTTTACAGGGACAGTAATTTCTAACCATCTTTCTACATGAACAGCAGGCCCTTCTCCATCCTGAGTGTTCAATGTCACCAGGAAACAGATGACTCTGAGGCTGGGAAGGGCACCCCTGAAGGGGCCACCTTTTGTCCCCAGCACCTGAGTGTGTCCTGCAGGGGGAAGACCCTGAGTTCATGTATATGGGACCAGTGAGAGTCCTGGGGAGCAGGGGGGAAAGGCTGACCCTGAATCTGTGTTTATGGGACCCGTGAGAGTGCTGAGGTGGGGCTGACCCTGAGTCCATGTATACAGGACCAGTGAGAGTGCTGAGGGGGGCTGACCCTGAATCTGTGTATACAGGACCAGTGAGAAGGCTAAGGGGGGGGGGGGAATGACCCTGAATCTCTGTTTATGGGACCAGTGAGAGTGATGCAGGGGGCTGACCCTGAATCCATGGATACAGGACCAGTGAGAAGGCTATGGGGGGCTAACCCTGAATCTGCGCATACAAGACCAGTGAGAAGGCTGCGGGGGGCTGACCCTGAATCCATATATAAGATGAGTGAGAAGGCTGTGGGGGACTGGCCCTGAATCTGTGTATACAGGACCAGTGAGAGTGCTGTGGGGGGCTGGCCCTGAATCCATGGATACAGGACCAGTGAGAGTGCT